GTCGATGTGATTGGAGAGGTCCGGAAGGCAGCAGACGGCTCCCTCTCGCCTGGGATCCCCCAACACCCGAATATGCCATTTATATGCTGAAGTACTTCATGTCTCTTATCGTTGGCATCACTTCAGGCTTCTGGATATGGTCCAGCAAAACTGTCGATGCCTGGAGGCGTGTGTGTCATGGAAGAAAACCAAAGTCACTAAGGGGTCTTGCTGCTCCAGTAATAGAGAAGACAACTGCAAATTGGGCGACTCTAAATGTTCAACCTCCATCCCAATTTTCACTCAAGAGCATTCCAGATCGGATGAGCGGTCATGGAAACCTCTACGGGGCAGATGGTGATCAGAGAACTAATTCCTACTGTCCAGTTGTCCGGGCTCCCAGTTTGGAAATCGGTGGAAGCAATGGAACGGGAAGTGCTTATGCTAATACGACGTCGGTTGTGGAACAAAACTCCGCTAACGTAAATCGGGCATTCGTCTTCAATAGCGGGGATTTCGCGGCGACAGTGCCGCAAAGACCTGGAATGTATTGAGACAGCGACTTAAAGTAAAGAAAACGGGGCATTTGAAGGGAGTTTTGTGTTCTGTTAAGTTTGTACCGCTTTTACAAACCTACTTGCAAAGACATAATATTATGCTATACTTGTAAATACCATTACTTTCTTTGAGTGCCTTTGATGAAATATACAATTATTAAACCAATGCTACTATCATCGTCCAAGTAGCATTATTATTTTATAGGTTTTAAATCTACAATGGACGGCAATATCGTGCCTGCGCGAATCCATAGACAAAGCTTTGTCACCAAATAATCTCTGCAAAAATTTATCACTGGTACAAAAGTAAAGCCGTTTTCAGTAGCACATGGAAGACCAAAGTATAAGGTCTTCCCTTTTAAGTAAATGAAATACTTGCTTTGATATTAGCAAAAGCTACCAAAAGCTTGCCGTGCATTAATTACTGATGTTGTTTTAAATGGCAAGCAACACATAAACTTGTGAATAAAATACTGACTACGAATGCAAATAAGTTCTTATTAAAAAAAAGTAATGTTCATTTTCCGTTCTTGTGATGTGAAGCCCTCCATCATGGTTTATTATCAATGATTGTTCACAAGTAATGCAGAATCCTAATGGCTGACTGAAGATTTTCTAAACAAAAACAAAAGACTACAGCTTCTGCATGCATCTGAGCTCTAGCACATTCTAGCAACCCATGAATTCATATATTAACACGTCCTCGACTTCTATTTTTAAAAGGAATAATCGACTTAACTGATCCATGCTGCAAATGCAAATTAGGCACCATTAGTATTGCATCAATTTAAAACCAATTTAGTCATCTAAAGTGGAAAAAAAGTGGGAACCCAAAATGCAGATCACACAAGACTAGTTATCATCCTCAAGAGTGGGCCATCTTATTTGGAGAACCAAAAGTAGCTCAGTGGAGTCATTTAATGGAAGGTCCGGAATATCCAACCGAACTCCCTACAGCTTATCTTTGAGGACGGACACTTGACCAACCGAGAGACAAAGTTTCAATTTACAGTTCTTTGACGGAAAATGGGAACAAAGTCCTTCCGCCACTTACAGAATCGCCTACAGGAAAAGTAAGCTTCTACTTTTTGCCCCAATCGTCCAACAACATAATAAAATGAATAACGGGAAGAGCACAGATATTTATTAAGATTTATGGGAGAGTTAACTTGGCATCCAATCATAAGGGACAAGTTTCGTGCGGTGCATGCAAAAGTGGAGATCAAGGATAGGAACAAATTTTAAATGATTAATTGATAACTTCGACATAGTTTCCAGGGAAGAGACCAGTTCGACCGTTCATCATAATCCCCTCCCACCACCCATCGTCATTCTTCTTGATCACATAAATCAGTTCATTTTCACCAAAGGTTAGCTCGTCGCTTTTGTCTGCTGTGTATTCGTATACGGTGATTACTAGAGGAAAGGAGGCAAACCATCAAGGATACTGACATCGCAAAGTTAAAACATTTTAAGGCACAAGTAGTAAGCAAATCACGAAATACCGAAAATATCTAACTGCGATTAAAATATGACTGAGTTTACTTCAGTTCTGACACACGTACAAACTACACTAACAAAAGTAACTGTCTTATGTAAAGGTTTGTCTTTCTAAATAGCTGCTGACTCAATAATGAACCAATTTAACTTAAAATTAAAATTACAGTAGTTTTGTAGGCAAAAAGAATTCTGGAGGTGAAAATTAAGGATCTGAAGACAAAAGAATTTAAACCATGATTGTTATGCGATTTAAACAGGACGCAACAGCTAAAGTATACGGCCCTTCCCGGAATCAATTAGCCAGATACCATCAATATCTGCACACCAAACTTTCCACACCACATTCCAATGATGTCAAACAAATAATTTCCTGCAAATTTTACCTGCAGTGTATGGCGGTAAAAAATATCACCAGACTTTAACTAGACAAGTAAAAAATGTATGTCCAAAGCGCAAGAGGCTACGATAATGGAAAGAAATGAATCCGTGCATTTTTATTCTGAGCTAAATTCATAAACGTTCATCCTAAAAATACAGCATAGTCTCTTACACCAAAGGCGAGCTTTCATATGTACTGAAACGAGTAGTTCAAGGCATCTCCAACTCCAACTATCGAATAGCTGACTTTTCCATACTTGGATTACCGAAGCCGTTCAGTGTAGGGATTCTAGTCGACGCAGTCGAATAGAATTGAATGAATAAAACCTTCCCCTACTGAGTAACAAACAAAACCAGTACCACTGATGTTCAGGAAAGGGTGGTGAAGGCGCCCCATGACTTTAACCCTGAGCTACTGGGAAATCGATGAATTTATCATACGATCTTAGCAAATACAGGTATCAATGAAAATTGGCTAGAACCGATAAACGCTTGCATGAAGTTACCTTTCTGGATGTAATGATGAGGGGCCCATGGCGGATCATTGTGTTGACGCGGTCTCAACTGGTCCATTGGACCGGGTTGCAGACGGCTCAGATCCACTCCACCGATGCCACCACCAGTGGACGGCTGACTGTACTGCTGTTGCTGCTGCTGTGTGTGACCCTGAGAGCGCGACTTCGCGCAGCCAGCGCCGTCTAATTGAAGTGACATCTGCGGTCTTGAGCTCGCTGGAATCTCGGTCGGTGGCGGTGGAAGGTCGTTCGGCCCAACCTAGTCAAATGAAGCAATGACAATCAACTCCACATTGGGCGATCATATCGAAATCAGAAAGCGGTGTTTTATTCAAATACTAATGACGCAGTGCCTAGACCAAAGTGACGGTGAACTCCTAATGTTGGAGTTCAGCAAGCCGAATGATTATGTTAGCCAAATCCCGCGAAGCACCTGCAAGCTTCCAATAAAATAATAGAAACAAATTCACTAATTCTCTACAATACCACAGAAATGTATTTCAAAGATAGGAAATTGATTGGATTGCATCATACGAAACCTGTAGGCCCAGTATGATGCTCGGGTCACAAGGTATGGAACAATGATGCAGATTTGGATGCCTATGAGGATATTTGAGCCAACAACTAGTTTTATAGCTGCAGACCAACATGCCTAAAACAAAGGACTCAAAAAGCGTGAGACAAAAGAGGAATAGGACTGACATTCTTCACATCCGTAGGTCGATTCAGAGGCGCCTGGGGGGATTGTTGGTACTGGGCTGGAAGGTGGTGTTGTACGGAGCTCGCTGGCACGTTGCCAGGCTCGGAGTGCTGGCGAGCAAACATCGCCTGATGCGGTGGCACCATCTGCTCATGAGACGGCGAACCCTGGTCAGTGAACACCTGCTGCTTAGTCGCATATCCCGTTGACTAGAAGTGGAAAAGTTATACCAACCTAACAAATCATAGGACGATCCTATTCTAGAGATGTGCCTCCTCTCCCTTTGATTTTCACCAAAAGTCAAAGAAAATAGCTTCACATTCCAATCGATTAAGCGGAAAAGTCGGTTCTGCAATCGAGCGAACTAAACAACGAGCCTAGCCATCATAGTGGGCCAATATAGCGAAGTTAGGTAACAGCACAGCGTATGATAAACACGAACTGAAGGAAGTGGCAGCTTTAGTTCGCTGAACACAGAGTTTAGTCTTTTTTGGGAACAGCAAGGCGCTTTATTAAATCAGCGATTTCTCATTCAATTATTTGATTTTCCAAATCTAGATAGACAAAATACAGAACCACTCATGCAAATAAAAAATAAGGACTTAAACTTCTTTAAAATAAGCGAATAATCCCAGAAAACCGACTTCACAAACTGATTCAACCCTACACGAGAAATAGTAGTAGATCACTAAAAGCGATTTCAGCAGAAGTTAATGGCACAAACATTCTACAAGTGCATTAAGAGGGGAAGTGTTCACCAGAGGAACGCCTTGGTGTTGGGGTTGAGCCATATGCATCCCTGCGGGCGCGTAGCCACCGGTTGTGCGCGGCTGGTTCCCTGAAGAGCTGCTCGAACGACGAGACGGTCCACCCAGAGATCCTGTGGAGTTCGAGGTGTATCCACTACTACCACCACCTGCGGTGGTGGATGGATGGTTCCTACCCATCGGTACGAGAACCTGCTGCTGACCTCCATAGGGATTCCCGTACTGTCCCATCACCCCTGTCCTATATATTCCTGCGGTGCGGCCGACAGTTCCACCTAATTATATGTACAGAATAGACTAATTTACCGCTCAAAGGAAAGGTTAACGGATGTAAAAGCAGTGAGACTTACTCTGATAATCTGACGCAGTAACAGACGTAGCGGCGTACTCTCCGCCCACTTTTATACTCATGGCTTTTGGATTTATTGTGTTACCATGGTGACCCATTTGGTGCGTTGCAGTGCTTCCTCTGCGTGTCAGAGTTTGTGCGTGAACAACCGGTGCTCCGTAGGGACTTGTGACTGGTTCCTTAAAAGTGCGAAGAAATATCGCAGTAGAGAGCTTGAAGAGAAGTACAGATATTATGATGATGAAGTAGTAGTGAGAACACTAATGATATCCCGAGCAAAACATGAAGCAGATAAATGAGGCAGTGCGTACACAAGTCTGCGTAAGCCACATGACACAAGTAATGGCGGGAAACAATAACATTTATGCATTACCGATTGCTTTCTCACGCGGTTCATCTATCAAATACACGCACACATAAGGATGATAACAAAATTGAATCAGAGGAAAAAGTTAAGGCCATCCAAACATTCACCTGAGATCTCGTTCCATGTCCGATATGGTCAAGAATTGAATAGTCAATGGGACGGCGAACATACTCCATGGGTGGGTCCTGTCGGACCTTTGTCAGAGTGCATTTAACAGGAACTTTTGAGGCGGTGCAAGAGCCGATTGCCTTACGAGCAACTTTTTCACGACGAATTTTGACCTCCTTAATGCAGGTGGTTAAAATTCAATAAAGGGATATTTATTACCATGGCCAGTTGAGTGACCTTTTCTTCAATCTCCAACATTTTTTCAGTACGTTCATCAAGGAGGGCAAGGAAGGCGCTGGCGAGGTGATTGATATGATGAATCATGGTTCCGAGGGATTGAGTGGCGTAGTTCATGGTTTCGTCAATTGCCCGTCGCTGACCATTTGAGGCGGCCGTGATATAATTTCCACTGCAGTACTTAGCTGCCTGCTGAATTTCACGGCCTGTACGGCTAAGGGCGTTCCGACTCTCAGCCAGATCACTTTCCGTAACTGTCATGAGCCCTAAAAGCAGTTAATGGATAAGATCGGTCACAAATCGCCTTTGTAGTGGATTTGGAAAAGTCGGAAGATTAACCTTGGTGCTGACATATAACACTTTTGACGTATTCAAAACTTACGATACAAGCAACAAAGCTTATGGGAATTATTCCAAGTCAGTTATTGCATCGATTGGAGAAATAATTAATAGCCTGATCCAGTACAAAAAGTCAGTGGGTGAATGGAAGTCAGTAGCCAGTTAACTGGATCACTGATTGCACAAGATCTATACAAAACTGTATACTATATGAAATCAGAATGGTAGGCGAGCTGAGGAAATCCGAGAGCCATACAGAAAGAACAAGCAAAATTAAGTGGCTTTACTACACTGTCTGTAAGACCGCCATCCAAATAAAAAAATCAAACAAGAACGATGAAATTGAGTGGACTTGAAAGACAGTGCTGTATTTGGAGTAGAGTATTCTTTAAAAATTAAGATAGTGAGTCACGAATTCTTAGATTTTATGCAGCTGATTTGAGCAGCAAATTTTGACATGGGAGGGGCTTCATGTATTTTAGAAATTTTGTGCACTTAACAACGCATAAAGAAGGTGAATTCATCTCACTTATTATGCTAAGAGATTTCTCAACTGTTAAAAAAACATGCGGGTGTGTTAAGTGGATTTCGTTAAGATAAAACATGCATATGCATTGTCTTTCCATGTTAATTTGGTGCAGAAACTTTTGGTCAAATTGGCCATTTATGGAATATGTTCTCCTGTTTTCCTTTCTAGTATAAGTGGTCTGCCTTAAAAATATGGTAATCACTGAAATTCTGATACTGTATGGACCAAACACGTATGTTGCTATCACCTTCAATGTTTGATCATTAATTGGGACCACTCTTCCAAAATTATTGAAATTTGTTGCAACTTTGGACACATTTGACAATTTGATGTAATTAAACCGAAGTGGATGTATGCGTGCAAATTACAATGAATTTAAAACACACTTTGTGGTTGTATTTACTCATTCCCAACCTTTTGTAGGCTAGTGTTCTGTAGCGTCCCAGGACTCCCTGAAGACAAAAGAAGACAAAATACCTGAACAGAATATGTATTCAGAGCAGGGAAGGTGTCTGGGCTATTGGCATGGCCCAAAAGGCCAGCCCACCCAGCGAGGTACAAGGGGGCTAATTCAAAGTACAAAAGCGGCGCTTCACCAGTACCGAGGGATAAACCACTATCGTATTACGGTACTCTAGAAAAACAATGAAGACCTGCTTGTTCATCCCTAACATTTTGGCCCAGAGATTACGGTGGCTAATTTTGATGTATAATAGAAGGAAACGCTCCCTTTTTTAGGCTGTGCATATAAAATATCATCCTAACAAATATGTGCGATTTTACAGGATCTATTACAGCAAATGTCATTATAGCGCCCCTTAGTCCGTTGTGAATATTAAATGCAAGCATGTCCTGGGTAATAGCATGGTTAAATATTTGCCGAATAAATACGTCGCATACAATTTAATGTCCTTCTAAAATTGTTCCGATTTTTAGTAGAAAGCTCATATATAAGTATTTTGACTTGTAATTAGAGTGCTGGCCAATTCTTCTCTTACACAAGTTGGACTAACTAATAAATTAAATGAAGTGCGGAACAATAGAAGGTATGTACCAACACATTTGGTGCATGTGTCAAAGTATTACAGCATCCCATGGCTGTGTCATTATCAAGTCCCTTCATAGCAGAGCAACTATCAATCAAACCACACAAACATTGCACCAGCTGCATTTCATTATGGCTTTTGGGACGAAAACATTTAAGTAGTCAAATTAAAGTACAATGGATCACACAGTAATTGATACTTGACAAGTAGTGCCGTATGAATGCAGAGTATTTCACAGTTAGCAAATAAAATACCCTTGTATTTTCACACATTGTTCCAATATAAACTCAACCAAACCTAAAACCCATTTTTTGGAATAATCAGACCCCTTCTCGAGCAATACCCCAAAAGTTATCTGCTTTTATGGAATGTGAAATCTCAAAATGATTTGTTGGATTAGGTAAGTCCGCAGTTTTATCGTAGCTGATGTAGTGATAGTATAAAGTAAAAATATACATAATACGTGCCGAAGAATTAATAAGGAATGCTGATAATCCTATTTATGATACCATATACTGGTAAATTTTAAAAATACTAGTTTGGAAAGTTTAAAAATAGGCTGGTAGAACATCGTCCTTAGATGAGAAAAGTGTTAGATGACAGTCCTGGTGGCGCAGTCCCTCGGTCACCTTGGATACTATTAATCGAAGGCGCATTGAAATATTTTGCAGTAAAATGCAGACCACTTTTACAACCGTCTTGAAAATCATTTATAATCATTGAAAGAGGAGGCAGAAGAACATCTTTAGTAGATGTCACTTCTAAAAATTGACCCTAAATACTAAAAAATATAAATGAATCTTGCAAATACTTTATGTGAAACGGAGCGAGGTGCTTCACATTTAGGATGAAAGTTGGTTTTAACTCATACATTTCCAGATACACCCGTCAAAGGAAATCTACATCTGATCCTTTAAAGGCAAGTAGTTGTGTAGGCAAAAAGTTTTGCAATGCATGCTCAAATGAAGGATCTAGAGATGTTTGAAAGTTGACTAGGAAATAGACCGTCTCACCGAAAAATTAATTTCCTTTATTTGGCTGAGAGGATGTAAAAAATGACTAGGCTAGGAAGTAAAATTCATGAAGGCCCACGGATGTGGGAAGATGCACAACTATGATCATGTTGCAAATTTGGTAATCGTGAAAGAAAAGTTTAATTTAGAAGGTGTCAGTGAATTCAGGGATACAATCTTTTGATCCTTGCATCGCAAATAGTTGCAGTGGCCAAAATGGGATGAAAATGTGAGTGTTCTGCTCTAATAAGATTCAAAACCATGAATGACTTATATATGATGCAAAGAAAAATGGTGGAATCTGCATTTGAATAAATAAGCTATGCTTGCTCAATTTTCAGATAATGCAGCAAGACCACATTTTATAATTGTAATCTCTCATAATAATCTCCACCAAATGGTATAAGCGTTAAAATCAGTAGAAACAATAAGCCACATTTGGATGAAGTCAACGATCGTCTTAATGTTAATCAAATGTCAAAAGTGCCAGAAACGATTTCATGTAATCATGGAAACACACCAGATTTTATATAAGCTATGTCGGGGATTATTTGATGTTACATATAAGAACACACAAAAACCAACGATTTTTCTATTTTTGAATGTCATACATATATTTCGTAATCGACAACAGAAAAAGAAAGCGTGAACAATTTCTCTAATTTCAACACCACCTCAAGGCTATATTATTTAATTAGGGCTGTCACAGACAAATAAATCAGGCAGAATTTAGTGGTCCCATGTGTGCTATAAAGAATCGTACATATTCCGATTTACTATTAAGCCTCAAAGATCTATTCAGATAATAAAAAAATGAAAAAACTAAAGCGTTGGAACACGAATCATCGAGAAGGGATTTTTATTTGAATCGAATCTATAGGTAAAGCACGATGTGGTACACAAAAGTGTTGCACTGTAATATGAGCTGCAAGTAAAAATAGAGTAAAACCGCAGTAACATTCAAAGAATCTCAAATATACTGCAGCTACGAAAATTCTTTAAAGGAAGTTAATCGATAATGCAAGAAAGAGTGGTGACGTGGAAACCTAAACCCACAAAAATGAAGCAGGTATCTTTATTATGAATGCATTCTAAAAATTGCAAAATGCTTTTTATCACCTCATCGAAGAAATAACTTGCTAAGTAATATTGCGTGTAAATGAGGTTTATAAATTGACTTCTACTAAAGGACTCCAAGTTCCTTTCGTGAGTGTTCAGGTGTGTCTAAAAAGTATGATCATTTTGTCTCTTCGGGTCCAAGCAAAGATGAATTTAAGTATCCCGTCGTACTGAGCAGTTCCCATGAAGAACCATGCTGTCATAACAAGACACTGATTCTTTTTTGGCAGTCGAGTTGCTTTGCTTAAAGTTTCTAGCTAAAGTATGGTCAAATGTCCAGGACTTAGCGTTAAATGAGCTACCATAACGATCGCACTTAGAAGAGAGAGTCAGCACTTATAAATTAACTAGGCGAAATTCTTTAGAGTGAGAATTTTTACTTGCCTGCGAAATAGGCAGGTAAAGATCAAAATACCCTCCGAAACCATAAAGTTACGGTAGTGGTAGAGAAGTTACTAAAGCCAAGAAGCTGATGAAATTCTTGAAACTACTAAGAACAACAAATTTTACAACTATTGAAAGCCGAAATACCAGATCGGATCCATTTGCACCAACGTAACTGCAAAATAAACCCGTTTTTGTGTGAATGTGAATTCGTTTACGCATGGGACTTTTTATACCCATCTTACTTTCCCTTACATAGAGGAAAGTGGGCATCCGATAAGTTACTCCTAGTCCCACTACAGTGTCTCGCAATTTTAGTAAAAGTAAAGATAGTTTAAATGCGGTAGGATTCATTCCATTTCATGCTCTTAGATAGCTAATTTATATCATCTTAAATATCATTTGCAGGATGTACAATATGTAAAAGATGTTCCCACATGAACCCACAAGCTTTCTACACACTTGCAAAATAGTTTAGTTGAAAACAAACCTATCTATCTACGAGGAAGCCCATTGTTAAAACCTCTTCCTGGACACATTCCTGTTTTACACTAAAATTTGAGTTTTAGTCAAGCACCGCTTTGGTGTATGAAATGCTCGACTTTTCAGCATAATTATGATTAATGATAGGGCACAAACAGAATAAACCAATCAGCCGATTTAAAGGAATAACATTACTTAAAAAAGGTACGTTAAATGCTTGAGATAAGTGCGCGAACACTTGGAAGACGGCCTTATCACGGAAGCAGTTCAAGAAGCAATCAAATAAGGCCAACTTTACCTATTAGCCATCAAAACTGTGTATTTTTAATCTGCTTTAAACAGTTACAG